GAATTACCATGGGGAAAAGGGGTCTCCGCTGAAGCTTTATCACCAATCCTTGTTTCCACAACAAGCCAAATTTTTGAAAATCCAAGTATCACAGGGACAGAAAGTGAAGTGCAATCTTCTGAAGAGTGACACCTAAACAAACACCACAAGCACTATCCAAAACTAAATATATACCATATATATTGTCTGGAGTTATACTTTAAAAATGTACCTGTTCTGACTTACATACAAATTCAACTTAAGAACAAACCTACAGAGCCTGTCTTGTTCGTAACTTGGGGACTGCCTGTACACACACTCCTCCTCATGAGAGACTTGTTTGGCTTGAGAAGATCTATATTCTTTTTTCATGAAGTTTGTTATTTTTCTCAGATTGTTATAATGGGCTACTTGTTCTGTCCTGGATAGGAATTTGGAAGATGCTCATTTAGCTTGTTAAAGATTATTTTAAATTTGCCCAGTGTCTGAATAGCTGTTGGTCACACCCTCTCCTCTCTCACTAGAAATGAATAATGGTAATGCAATGTATTCTCTGATTCAGGTTCTTGCAATATTGTGTGTTTCACTTTCGGTTTTAACAATTAGTACTGAGTATTAAAAAAAACTGGGTTCTGTGGCTTCTACTTTCAGTATCAGTTTTTTTAAAATTCATTGGTAAAAGAAAAGTTTCAACTACCGTAAAAGAATTTGTGTAATGCAAATAAGAAAGGAAGGGAAGGGAAAAAGTAGTAAAGGGAGTAGTGTCTTAGGTCCCTTCCACACAGCCATATAACCTGTGTGGAAGACAGAAAATCCCACAATATCTGCTTTGAACTGTGTTATCTCAGTCCATACTGCCATATATTCCAGTTCAAAGCAGATAATGTGGGATTTTATTTAGCTGTGTGGACGGGTTCCTATTCTCCTTTCATGAGCAAATCTACTACTATTCCTACTTCTCCTCCTAGGAGCAATTCCACAGAGCCCTAAATCTCAGAATATCAAGGCAGAAAATCCCACAATATCTGTTTTGAACTAGGTTATCTGAGTTCACACTCAGATAATGTGGGATTTTCTTTCTTGATATTCTGGGATATAGGGTTGTGTGGAAGGACCCTTTATATTAGAGGTCCTCAAACTTTTTAAACAGAGGGCCAGGTTACAGTTCCTCAAACCGTTGAAGGACCGGATTATAATTTGAAAAAAACATGAGTGAATTCCTATGTACACTGCACATATCTTATTTATAGTGCAAAAACACTTAAAAACAAGACAATAATGAAAATGAAAAACAATTTTAACAAATATAAACTTATAAGTATTTCAATGGGAAGTGTGGGCCTACTTTTGGCTGATGAGATAGGGTTGTTGTTGTTGTTGTTGTTGTGTGCTTTCATTTCAGACATAGGTTGACCCTGAGCGAGGGCCGGGTAAATGACCATGGAGGGCCATATCCGGCTCCCGGGCCTTAGTTTGAGAAGCCCTGCTTTATATGTTCCTGCTGAGTTTCAAAATCTATAGTTAATATTTTCTACTTGTACAAACATTAAAACCTAGTACTCTTATGCTGAAATTGCTTCATTCTTCCTCTCTAACTAAACATAATACAGCTTGAATATCCAAAATACTTGCAACTAGAAACATGTTGGATTTCAGATCAGATTTTGAAATATTTGTGTTTGCATATATGCATATAAGAAGTTATTTTGCAGATGGGATCCAGGTCTAAACACAAAATTCATTTATGTTTCCTACAAGCATTTTATGCATAGCAAGAAGCATAACAGCGTATTTTAAATAAATAGCAAGAAGCATAGCAGAGTATTTTAAATAATTTTGTACATGAAATAATGCTCTACAAAGCTACCCATGTGGATAGTTTTGAATTACAGATAATGGATGCTCAATCAATGTAGTTTTGGGCCCTTCCACGCAGCCCTTTATCCCTGGATATCAAGGCAGAAAATCCCACATTATCTGAGTGTGGACTCAGATAACCCAGTTCAATGCAGATATAGTGGGATTTTCTGCATTAATTTTCTGGGATATAGGGTCTTTTAACATCTCTTTGTGTTTAACCTCATTAGCTGCAATTAATATTTTATTTTTCGATCCTGCAAACAATAGTATGCAATTCTCTTACATTAGAATTGCTGTATTGTCGAAGGCTTTCATGGCTGGAATCACTCAGTTCTTGTGGGTTTTTTCGGGCTATCTGTGAGACCTCACCTCTGAGGATGCTTGCCATAGATGCAGGCGAAACGACAGGAGAAATGCCTCTAGAACACGGCCATATAGCCCGAAAAAACCCACAAGAACTGAGATTAGAATTGCTGTTTCCCCAAAATGATGACCTCTGCTGATTTTTATCATCTCAACATTTTAAGTTCTTAAATCTCTAATGCGTTTTTCTAACTAAGCATGATATCTCACTAACTTAACACAATTTAGGTCCTCTCTTTAGGTTTAACCTCATGATAAATCCTCCCCTTGTTAAAATGTCTTTTTGGCAAATCGCGCCTCCAACCTCAAGACCTCTCAAATCCTGTGTATTACTCCATAACCATATAAAACCCAACCGGCACTCTGCCAATTATAGCTACTTAAATCTCACATAAAATCCTTCTACAAATCTCCTTCTGAATTTCAACTTGCGCACAAGAGAGGCATAATTATCTTGAAGTATTTGTGTTACTTTGTCGATCTTAAACACTGGATCTGTTTCTTCACCCCACTATCCAGTTGCTCCCCTTTTACAGTTCTTCCACTTTTCAATCTGATCTCCACTTTTCCATGATAGAAAGCATTTCTTTCCCAATTTTTCTGTGGCTCCTCACTTTTCCATGTGATGCTGCTTTGTTCTGTCCTAAAACATTTTCTCAAATCTCTTTGCAACTTCTCCCTTTTTACATTATTCTTTCACACTCCAAGCTGATCTCCATGCTTCTCCAGCCCCTCTTTCTTCTATCTGATGTCCCCTTTCTCCCAACATTTTTTTTGAAATGCTTCTCCCAGTTGTCAAACTCAACATCCTCAATGCCAGAAACTGCAGCTTTAAGTTGATCATTAATCATTTCCACATCTTCATTATGCTTGTCTTTATCACCTACATTCGTCTTTTCAGGGGGAAAATATTTGTTTCTCTGGTTGGCTAATCCTGAGGTAGCTCTTCACTCCATGATGTTAAGACCTCATAAAGATCCCACAACGTTAATTGTCCTTGATTTTCTGGGGATTCTTTCAAAGGCCCCTTCTATACTGCCATATCATCCAGATTATCAAAGAAGGTAATCCACATATTTTGCTTTGAACTGGATTATATGAGTCTACACTGCCATTTAGGATTTCAAAGCAGGTAATCGTCGGCCAGATTGTTAGCTGGAGCAAGTTACAGGGAGCAGTCAACCCTCCTGTTTAAACAGCTCCACTGGCTGCCAATAAGTTTCCGGTCCCAATACAAGGTGCAGGTTATCACCTATAAAGCTCTTAATGGTTCAGGACCTGCCTATCTGCGCGACCGCCTCCTCCCTTACGAGCCCACGTAGTCCTTAAGATCTTCTGGGGATGCTCTTCTCTCACTCCCACCCCCGTCTCAGGCGCGGTTGGGCATTCTAGGTGGTGCCCCCCCGTCTGTGGGACTCCCTCCCCAAGGAGATTAGACTGGCCCCCTCTCTATCCACTTTCCGTAAGGAATTAAAGACGTGGATGTTTTGTCATGCTTTCGATTGATGAGTCCTATGACAAACGGCCTGTATTATGATCTGAATCGTCATTTAATTTGATGTCCTATATTATATTAACTGAATTGGTTCTGATACTGTTAATTTGCTCTGTTTCCATGATATTTCCTATGCCATTATACATTGTTAGCCACCTTACTAAACCACTTTATCCTTTAACTGCCATGTCCCCAGGTTGAGAGAAGGAGACATGCGGCTGCCGTGAGCTCTCCGGAGAGCTCGTGGCAACTGCATGTCTGTCCCCTGGCTCTCCTCTCAGTCTGGGGACATGTTGGCTCCCCACGTCCCCAGGCTGAGAGGAGAAGGAAGCATGTGTCTCTGCTTCAGCCCGCCTCCCAGCCTGGGTATGTGGCCACATCCACATGCTGAGAGGAGGGCCGAGGCAGGCGAGGGCTAGCGGAAAGAGCCAAGGGGGCTGTTTCTGGCCCATGGGCTTGGGTTTGCCTATGCCTAACATATTTTATTTATTTATTTATTTCATACATTTCTATCCTGCCTTTCTCTCCCCACAAGGGGACTCAGAGTGGCTTCACATAGGCATCAATGATGCTTACAACATATACATCAAAGAATACAATAAAACAGTAAAATCATCTTAAAACATCAAACACATCAGCCAATACATTCATTTACCAGATAATATTAAAATGCCAGTAAAACAGAAATCAAACCGGGAAATCCAGTGTCGCAACCCAAAATTCCTTTCCTATTGTCACTATCATCTAATCAAATGCCTGGCTACAGAGCCAGGTCTTTAGTTGTCTTATAAAGGACAGGAGGGAGGTGGCCAACCTGATGTCCTTAGGGAGGGAATTCCACAGACCGGGTTGGAGGGGGCACTGCCAAGAAGGCCCTGTCTCTCATCCCCACCAACCGCGTTTGCGAGAGTGGTGGGATCGAGAGCAGGGCCTCTCCTGACGATCTTAAGCTTTGTGATGGTTCATAGCAGAAGATACGTTCAAACAAATAGTCTGGGCCAGAACCATTCAGGGCTTTAAAGGTTAAAACCAGCACTTTGAATTGTGCCCGGAAGCCAATCTAGCAGTCTTGTCGCAGAGTATCGACAGCACTTGACCAAAATGCTGATGGGACTTTCCAATTTTTTTCCTTTGTCAGTCTTTCCTGGCGTTGTGTCCAATTAATTATACATGTAGAAAAAAGCTGAAGGAGCTTTTTGCAAATTCACTCTAAATATGCTAAAATGGGGTGGAGAACTTTAAAAAAATATTTTTAAAATCTCAACTCATTTCATTAATCCTTGCTTCTTCTCTTTTCCACCAGGAGGCAAAGCCTTCAACGGAGGACTTGGGTGACAAGAAAGAGGGAGAATACATTAAACTCAAAGTAATTGGGCAGGTGAGGATTTTCGTCTTTAACATGGATATTTCAACTTAAGCCTGAATGAAGTACATACTAGAACAAATAATTGAGGTTTTAATTGCAACTGTTATTTTGTAATTGTATGTTGTCGGTATCAAATTGCAACTGTTGTGAGGCTGCCCTGAGTCCCCCTCCGGGGTGAGAACGGTGGGGTACAAATGTGGAAAATAAACAAATAAAGAATATGTTGCAACCAATAATGCATGTGACATTATCTTTGTCTTTGACAGATTGATATCTCCCGTTATTAGGTGAAAACAAACCCTTAAGCCAGGGGTCCTCAAACTACGGCCCGCGGGCCACTTCCGGCCCGCCAAGGGCACTTATCCGGCCTGCGGAGGAGGAGCGCCCCCCCACAGTGCCCCTCCCTTGGCTGGCTCACGCTATTTGTCAGGCCCGATGGGCAGCGTGAGGCAGCCAAGGGCAACTGCTCCGTGTGGCCTACTAAAGCACCTCGCGAGGTGCTTTACTCGCAAGTAGGCCGCACGGGGCTGCTCCTCCCTTGGCAGGCTCACGCTATCTGTCAGGCCCGATGGGCAGCGTGAGCCAGCCAAGGAAGGCTGCTCCGCATGGCCTACTCGCACGTAAAGCACCTCACAAGGTGCTTTACGCGAAAGTAGGCCACGCGGTGCTGCTCCTCCCTTGGCAGGCTCATGCTATCCATCAGGCCCTATGGGCAGCGTGAGCCATCCAAGGGAGGCTGCCCCGGCGTTCCATGCAGTCATGCTGGCCACATGACCTTGGAGGTGTCTACGGACAACGCCGGCTCTTCGACTTAGAAATGCAGATGAGCACCACACCCCAGAGTCAGACACAACTGGACTTCATGTCAGAGGAAAACCTTTAACTAGGAAAATTGTGGACGATCCAGGGTGAGAGAAAGAACTGTTGTCTGTTGGAGGTAGGTATGAATGTTTCAATTGGCCACCTTGATTACCATTTCATAGCCTGACAGTTTTTAGGGATAATCCTTTGTTGAGAGGTGATTAGCTGGCCCTGATTGTTTCTTGTCTGGAGTTCCCCTGTGTATGAGTGTTGTTCTTTATTTTATAGTTTTAGAGTTTTTTTAATACTGGTAGCCAGATTTCCCATTCTCTGCTCCTGGAATTACTGCCTAAAGAGGGCTAGAAAGAACCCCCTCTAAGGGCCCTTCCACACAGCAAAATAAGATATGTGCAATGTGCATAGGAATTTTTTTATTGATTTTTTTTTTAAAAAAAACTATAGTCTGGCCCTCCAACGGTCTGAGGGACAGTGAACTTGCCCCCGGTTTAAAAAGTTTGAGGATCCCTGCCTTAAGTCTTAGGAATACAATACTAACATTCCTTCAGTTCTTCATGCATAATACCACCATTGCCCTTTTAGATGATTTCACTACTTACTTCTCGATTACTGGCCAGTTATTTTCCAGTGATGGTGTTAGCTATGGCCGAATGGAGTTGGAGGCTAAATTATCTTGTAGTCTTGCTGAAACTTCTTTTCCTGTATTTTATATTTTATTTAGTTCTGTAATGTGTTTATAAATCACTTTTCTGAACACATGTTCCCAGTGAGATGTCCCCAAACTCCATTTGTTGTTGTTCATTTGTTCAATCGTTTCCGACTCTTCGTGACCTCATGGACCAGCCCACGCCAGAGCTCCCTGTCGGCCGTCACCACCCTCAGCTCCTTCATGGTCAATCCAGTGACTTCAAGGATCCCATCCATCCATCTTGCCCTTGGTCGGCCCCTCTTCCTTTTTCCTTCCACTTTCCCCAAACTCCATACTATGAGCATAACATGTTAAGATGAGAGTACCTTAACATGTCAATTCATACTGTTTATGTGTGAGATAAATGTGCAAAGGTTCTGTTCTTTCAGGCCTTTCTTGTAATCATGGTGTTTCAGGGTGCATCTGCATTGTAGAATTAATGCAGTTTGACACCACTTTTAACTGCCATGGCTCAATGCTGTGGGATCTAGTTTTACAAGGTCTTTAGCTTTCTCCATGCCAGTTAAAGCAGGGTCAAACTGCATTAATTCTACAGTGTAGATGCATGGATTTTCACTTCAGATATCACTAGTGTGAGTGGTGCAGAAGTATTGTAATTTTATTAATACTTATAAGAAATACCAGCTTATATAACAATTTTATAGATGTTCATAATAAGCAAATAAATTGTGGATATATCCATATAATTAGCTTACATTCTAAAAGAGACATTAAGGAGTACATCAGAAGGTAGGGACAAAGCCAGAGAAGCAGTGAATTTGAATAAATCCTCCTATATGTGCTTCAGTGATGATTTAGGCCTATGGTAGTTTAAAAGTTGTGGGTTAAGCTGGAGATAGATTGAAAGAAGGATATAAGGTTCAGAAGGGAATGTTTAAATGTCTCACTATGTTAGCAAGGCCTAAGTATTTTTAGAGTATCACATCATTGCACAGGAATTTCATATGCCAAAACGGCTTTCCCATGTACCAGTTGGTAGAATAGCAATGGAAGTGTGTGTGTGTATTTAAAGCAGTCATTAGATGACTTTCCATCTCTGATAAAAAGTAATTTATTTATATCACACTATCCCTGTATGTAGCACATTAGAAATGCCACGTTTGTCTGGTCCAAATCATAAGAGAGTTGTCACCTGAAAACTGACAGGCCTCTTCTACACAACTACATTATCTTCTTTGAACTGGAATATATGGCAGTGTGGACTCAGATGACCCACTTCAAAGCAGATATTGTGGGATTTTCTGCCATGATATTCTTGGTTGTATGGCTGCGTGGAAGGGCCCATAGAGAGGTTTTATAGGAAAGAAGGAATGAAAACAAAAGGTAAACATGGGAACTATGTGCGGTTTGGCTGCTGTGTCGGACTGGATGAGAGCTAACAAATTGAAATTGAATCCAGACAAGACAGAGGTCCTACTGGTCAGTCGTCAGGCCGAACAGGGCATAGGGTTGCAGCCTGTGTTAGACAGGGTTACACTCCCCCTGAAGACGCAGGTTCGCAGCTTGGGAGTGATCCTGGATTCATCGCTGAGCCTGGAACCCCAGGTCTCGGCGGTGGCCAGGAAAGCTTTTGCACAGTTAAAACTTGTGCGCCAGCTGCGCCCGTACCTTGGGAAGTCGGATCTGGCTACGGTGGTCCACGCTCTTGTCACATCCCAAATACACTACTGCAGCGCGCTCTACATGGGGTTGCCTTTGAAGACTGTTCGGAAATAGCAAATAGTCCAATGGGCAGCAGCTAGATTACTCACCGGAGCGTCATACAGGGAGCATACCACCCCCCTGCTGTGCCAGCTCCACTGGCTGCCGATCCAATTCCGAGCACAATTCAAAGTGCTGGTCTTGACCTATAAAACCCTATACGGCTCCGGTCCAGTGTACCCGTCCAAACGTATCTCCTTCTACGTCCTACCTCAGAGTTTAAGATTGTCTGGGGAGGCCCTGCTCTTGGCCCTGCCTTTGTCTCAAACACGCTTGGCTGGGACGAGGGACAGGGCCTTCTCGGTGGTGGCCCCCCGCCTGTGGAATTTGCTCCCCGGGGAAATTAGGTCATCGTCATCCCTCCTCACCTTTAGAAAAAAGGTTAAAACGTGGCTGTGGGACCAGACCTTCGGGCAATCAGGTTAAAGGACAATCGATAATGTTGACTATGGCATGGGAGAGGATTTGGATAAGTTAAGCGGAGTAATCATTAGTAGATGGCTAGCTAAACAGCCACCAGACGGGCAATAGCTAATCAGAATGTAAGTATGCTGTTTTAATCTTTATTAATGTTCATGTTTAATTGTTATATTTGTTATCCTGTATTTTATGATGCGGCATTGAATTATTGCCAATTGTAAGCCGCCCTGAGTCCCCCCAGGAGTTGAGAAGGGCGGGGTAAAAATGCTCGAAATAAATAAATAAATAAATAAATAAATAAATAAATTTAAAATTGCAAATTCTTTGGTTTTATTGAAGGACTGTATAGGTCAAGTGTGTTTTTCACAAAAGATATGGAAATTTAATCGCATGTGTGGCATCCCCTACTTTGAAAGAGAATTAACTACTCAAAAAGGTGACATATATCATTGATTTCATGGGTTTCACTTGCCAGCCATCTGAAACAGAAATGTTTCATAATTATTGATCAATGGATTGGTTCTGCAAATTGAAGGGCCAATATATAAAACACATTCCTGCTGAAGATTACGAGTAGAACCGTGATATATACATACATACATACATACATATATATATATGTATGTATGTATGTGTGTGTGTGTGTGTGTGTGTGTGTGTATATATATATATATATATATATATATTAACTGATCATTGAGAGTATGGAATGATTTGTCAAGGGGATATGTTAAAGGGATATGGAAAGAGTGAGATGCGTTAAGACTTAATTCCTCTTACTTATTTCACACATGAAAATTAATCAGCTGGGATGAATGAGAATTGTAAGTTGCTCTGGAACTGCGTTGCGTAAATGAAATTGACAGCCCACTTGTGAATCACATTAAATAAGTATTCTTTAACTGTATAGAATCATAGAATCAAAGAGTTGGAAGAGACCTCATGGGCCATCCAGTCCAACCCCCTGCCAAGAAGCAGGAATATTGCATTCAAATCACCCCTGACAGATGGCCATCCAGCCTCTGTTTAAAAGCCTCCAAAGAAGGAGCCTCCACCACACTCCGGGGCAGAGAGTTCCACTGCTGAACGGCTCTCACAGTCAGGAAGTTCTTCCTCATGTTCAGATGGAATCTCCTTTCTTGTAGTTTGAAGCCATTGTTCCGCATCCTAGTCTCCAGGGAAGCAGAAAACAAGCTTGCTCCCTCCTCCCTGTGGCTTCCTCTCACATATTTATACATGGCTATCATATCTCCTCTCAGCCTTCTCTTCTTCAGGCTAAACATGCCCAGCTCCTTAAGCCGCTCCTCATAGGGCTTGTTCTCCAGACCTTTTCTCATTTTAGTCGCCCTCCTCTGGACACATTCCAGCTTGTCAATATCTCTCTTGAATTGTGGTGCCCAGAATTGGACACAATATTCCAGATGTGGTCTAACCAAAGCAGAATAGAGCGGTAGCATTACTTCCCTAGATCTAGACACTATGCTCCTATTGATGCAGGCCAAAATCCCATTGGCTTTTTTTGCCGCCACATCACATTGTTGGCTCATGTTTAACTTGTTGTCCACGAGGACTCCAAGATTTTTTTCACACGTACTGCTCTCGAGCCAGGCATCCCCCATGTTGAATTTCTGTGTAATACATTCTTACTATGTAACAAAATTTGAAAAATTTTCTGTTCCTGGTTTAAACATGTTATATCCTGTTTAATTGTGTGGTACTTATGTTGAAAGTAGTTCTACTCCAGAAACTTTATTTTTGTGGCTGTCACAAACTAGGTTGAATTGGTTGAGACTCTGTGAGATAGTCATTTAAAAACGATAGCAAACTATGCTGCAGGATGTTCTGCAAAAACCAATTTTTTGTAGTTTAATGAACTTTTCTCATGCTTTTATGCTAAAAACAATTAGGAAATGACATTTATAACCCAGGAACAAAAATTGTGTTACATGGTTTAATAATATGTAATATTAATTTTTTTGGTCCAAAGAGTTATGCTTGCAGTCTTGAAAGTCAGTGAACAAATGATGATAAAGACAGAAGTACAATGTTTAAGACACAATTACCATATATTCTGGCATATAAGACGACTGGGCGTATAAGACGATCCCCAACTTTTCCAGTTAAAATATAGAGTTTGGGATATACTCGCCGTATAAGACTACCCCTCTTCCAGCGCACACCAAATAAAATTTTTAAAAGCATCAGATTTGATTTCAATATGGTAATTTTCCTATTACTGGACCTCCTTCTCTGTCTCACAGATCTCGCACATGTGCACTGCAGTCTTCAGGAGCGAGATCTGAGAGGCAGAGGAGGAGGTATGGTAATAGGATACAAGGGCGGGCCAGACAGGTAAAAGAGGTGGGTTTTTCTGGGCCCAGAGCCACTCTATCTTTTTTTCCCATACCCCGGGCGCCCCGGACGCCTACAGCTTGCTCCACCCTTCACTTACACCTTCCCGGTGAGGCGCCGCTTCACCTCACTATCAGGACCGCATTAAGTCCACGAATCCTGATGAATGGATTTTCTTCTACTGTACTTGTACAACATCACCCTTAATGCTTTCATACAGTCGCTGCATATGGCAGGGACGCAGCCACTGCCATTTTTGAGCTCCCCACACAATATGCAGCAACCACAGATTCTCCAATCCGGATTGGAAGTTTCAGCACCCGCTCTATAAGATGACTCCCAGCGTATAAGACTACTCCCACATATAAGACAACTCCTATGCATAAGGCTACATCAGCGTATAAGACAACCTCTGACTTTTGAGAAGATTTTCTTGGGCTAAAAAGTAGTCTTATACGCCAGAATATACGGTAACTAGAGCAAAGATAATATCTTTTTCAAAAGAAACAACTTGAATTGAATTTCAAATGTAGTCATATAGAATGGTCTAACAAATGTAGGATCAACCTATCAGTAAATATGTTGCATTTTTAAATAGCTATTGGAAAGATCCTTTTTAATACTATATAGGGACTAATCCTTTTTGTGTTCTGTTTATAGGACAGCAGTGAGATCCACTTCAAAGTGAAAATGACAACGCATCTAAAAAAACTTAAAGAATCATACTGTCAGAGACAGGTTTGTGTAATTGTGGGATGGGTTTTTTTTAACCTTTCTTTTTTGCCTGTTTCTTGAATGTAAAAGTAGCTGAAGCAGGATAGGTAAAACTTAACTAACTAACTAACAACAAACCCCAAATTCTTGAAGGACAGTATCAGCTTTGGTTGAGATGAAACCAAATAGTAAGGATGAGAAGACATTGGGGAGTTGGAGTAAAAAAAAAGAATTGAGTCAAAAAAAGAATTGAGGCAAATAGCACTTACGAGAAAGCTGACGTCCAAGATGACAGAAATCACCAGTTGCAATTAAGATACTCTTCAATATGTTTTGCTTTTATTAATTTCATCAATGACAGCTCTGCTTTCCCCTTGTAATGTTGAATGGTTCAGATGCTTATAAAATTGCACTGTTTTTGTTCATACCATGCAAATCTCTACCTTGGAATGTTGTGCTCAGTTACAAAAGTTACAAAATTGCAGTATTTTCCTATGCTGAAAACAGCATCAACAAAAAGTCCCTGTAGTTCATAGGAACTCTTCAAGGACTGTTTTTCTTGCTGTCATTTCATTTTTTAGAGTGACTGGAAACACCAAGTTTTGACTACATTTGGGAAATGATTGAATGCCCATTTCATTCCTACTCAGTACTTGTGTTAATCTTGCTGATTTAATAGGTTTACTGTAGTCAGATCAGAGGAGGAATTGTAGTTGTCCTATAGAAGAATTCCTTGACTGAATTTTGTCAACTGATTTCCACAAATTTATTTTATTTATTTATTTAAAACATTTATATTCCACCCTTCTCACCTCGAAGGGGACTCAGGGCAGAGCACAGCACATACACGGCAAACATTCAATGCCGGGATACAAATTCACATACAATACATAATCATTAAAAAACATTTATCAAAATATTAAAATACACCATTTACAATTGTCCTAGTCATCCGCGTAAAATCTAATTGGGCTGGTCATCTTTCCTATTGCCGCTTTATTGCCCTGTCCCGAAAGCTTGGTCCCACCGCCAAGTTTTTACCATCCTTCTAAAGGTCAGGAGGGAGGGGGCCGACCTGATCTCACCAGGAAGGGAGCAATCACTGGGGAGCAATCACTGAGAAGGCCCTGTCTCTCGTGATCTAACACTTTTTATTTTTAAAGAAGGAATTCTAAGTGCACAACAACTGTAATGCAATCTTTTTTGGAACAAATTATAAAGAGCACACTTTTTGTCGCTGAGCATTACATTCTCCAGCATTTTTTTGTTTTGTTTCAGGGTTTTGAAAATTGGGGTGCGCTTTATATTCAATGGCACACTACATTTGAGTAAATACGGGTAGTAGATTCTGATGTGATCCTTCACATCCTGCTTAAGGGTAAGCAGGTGTTGGGCTTGACATGTCGATTCCTATCAGTCAGGAAGCAGTTCCTGACATTTTCACTCCTTCTTGTGAGTGATCTCTCATGCAACGGCAGAAAGGGGACCTGGTTGCAAATGCCCCTCGTGATGCTGATCACTTGCTTGAGGAGAGTAAGAGCATCAGGAAACTGTTTTCCATTGACAAGGAAATGGATCCGAGTCAATCTCAGAAGCTGCTTACCAGTAAGTGTGATTTAGAGGACTTTCACAGTTTCTTTGCAGGCTCTAAACTAGGCTGTGTCAAATCATGAATATGTAGCAATTGCAAACCAGTAGCGGTAGATTATGTACAGAGTTCCCTCACTTATTGCGGGGGTTCCGTTCCAGGACCACCTGCAATAAGTGAAAATCCGTGAAGTAGGGATGCCATATTAATTTTAATATTTATAAGTTATTTTATATATTATTTTCTTACTTCCTTACCCGTCTTCCGGCCCATCCCAAGGATGCCTGCAAGCCTCCCTGGCCTCCGCAGACCCCTTCAGAGCCTCCGGAGCCACGCAGGCAGTCGCAGGCCAGGGAGGCAGGCCTTCCCCGCCGTACCTCAGCCTGCCGCACTTCTGGGGTCCCTGGCCTCCACTGGATGCAACTATTTTATATTTTTATTAATATTTTCAAAAACCCACGAAACAGCGAGTCTACTAAAAGCGAACCACGAAATAGCGAGGGAACACTATATATGCATTTGTACAACAGGATTCCAGCTATTCTTTGTAGTTTAGTGGTTTAATTATACTAGGATGATTTTATGCTTGTCTGAATGTTTAAATTTTATGTATGTCTTATGTTTAATGGTTTTAATTGATTTTAAGTTCATAGTTATATGTAGTAATTAGTTATTATGATTTATTTGTGTACTGTATATTGGAACTAATTTTTCCCCCGTTAATATGTTGTAAACCATCTTGAGTTCCCCCAGGGGTAAGAAAGGCAGTATATAAATACAGTAAATAATAAATAAATATACTGCTTATGTGATGAAGAAATTATACTTTCATGTTTTGAATCATAAATTGTACGAGGTAGACATTACAGTTCCAGGCTTTTGAAACAAACATTAACTTATATGTGTTTTCATTTCCCCCCTAAACCAATAAAATATATAGTAATAGTTGACAATTTTTCAGTGTGACCTATTGAAATAAATTGTGATTTCTCTCCCTTTAGGGAGTCCCAATGAATTCACTCAGGTTCCTCTTTGAGGGTCAGAGAATTACTGATAATCATACTCCAAAAGAGGTAAGTGTTTCATAGTGAACAAATACATTTCCTAATCATTTGAATGCATGATATAAGGACTTTTACATCAGCTGCATTGTAAAATTAAGACAGTTTTAGTTATTACTAACTTGGGTGTTGCCCGGGTTATTTGAAAAAGTCATTTTTTTAATTTAGCAAAATGCATAATCGGTGGTTCTCAACCTGCAGGTCCCCAGATGTTTTGGCCTATAGCTCCCAGAAATCCCCGCCAGTTTACCAGCTGATAGGATTTCTGGTAGTTGAAGTCCAAAACTTCTGAGGACCCACAGGTTGAGAACCACTACTCTAGATGCATCATCGGTGAGGTTCCGCGTGCTCTCTGACTACAGGGTAAACTGCAATTCCCACCATGGTTAGTCAGTCCCCTCAAACCCCTATAAATACCTCCAAAAACCTCAAGTTTTTTTGTCATGGGGGTTCGGTGTGCCAAGTTAGTTCTGGGTTCGTTGTTGGTGGAGTTCAGAGTGCTCTTAGATTGCCGGTGAACTATACATCCCAGTACCTACAACTCCTATAAATCACGGTGAATTCTCCCCAAACCTCTCCAATATGTTCAGTTGCTGATCAATTCTTCTGTTTTTTTGAGTGCCATAGAAAATAATAGGAAAGGGTTAATGGAGAGGCAGTGGGCAGGGTCATGCAAATTCCATACCAATGGAGAAGGTCAGAAACACGGATGCCTGTGGTGGAGAAAACATAAAATCTAGGATGAAATTGTCCCCACCTGAAAGCCTTCTCTTGCGTGGTGGGCAGGATTGTGTTTGTGGAAGACACACATACATATTTTCATTTTTCTTATGTGTATAAATGTAGAAAAACTTGTGCAGGTCCTATCAGCATTGGAACTAGTCTGTTCTGCTCTTATTGTCTTTTGAGCATAATTCAAGCCATGGGTATAGAGAGCCCACTGTGTTTACATTTAGCCACTGGTTTGTAGTTTTAATATTTAAACTGAGGAAAAACTATTTAAAAAAAGGAATTTCTAAAAGGAAATTGGGTCAAGACAGTTAAAAAATCCCTATAAATTAAGTGATTCAATTCAATCTATTCTTTGCCAGCTACTTGCTTTTTTTGGGGGGGGGGGGGGGGGGGGGTCATGTCAGGAGCGACCTGAGAAACTGCAAGTCGCTTCTGGTGTGAGAGAATTGGCCGTCTGCAAGGACGTTGCCCAGGGGATGCCCGGATGATTTGATGTGTTATCATCCTTGTGGGAGGCTTCTCTCATGTCCCTGCATGAGGAGCTGGAGCTGATAGAGGGAGCTCATCCGCCTCTCCCCGGATTTGAACCTGCAACCTGTCCTGCCGGCACAGTGGGGTTTAACCCACTGCGCCACCGGGGGCTCCACCAATGCTCTGTGATTGTAGGTTAGCTATAAATCCCAGCAACTACAACTCCCAAATGATAAAAGCAATCCTCCCTCAACCCTACCAGTATTCAAATTGGAGCATATTGTGTATTTGGTCCAGTGAACGAAAATAGATCCTGCATATCAGATATTTCCATTACAATTCATAGCAGTAGCAAATTTACAGCTATGAAGTAGCAACAAAAATAATGTTATGGTTGGGGGTCACCACAACATGAGGGACTGTATTAAGGGGTTGTGGTATTAGGAAGGTTGAGAAACACTGTGCTAAGGTGACCTGTTGAATAACAACTGTTTCCTTATGTGCTAACTGTTACAGCTAAAGAAATCAAGACAAAAGTAACATGTTGTGAATGCAGAGCATGTAATGGTTGTGGTGGTGGGAGTTTTTTTTAAAAAAAATTCATTTCTTTACTAAGACTATTTCCTGTCTTACAGCTTGGAATGGAAGAGGAAGATGTGATTGAAGTTTATCAGGAACAGACAGGAGGCCATTCAGCAATTTAGAGTGTTTGCTTCTCTTTCCCCTCCCTCCTTCCCCTTTATCCTTTTTTATTTTTAAATAATAGTTTTTGTAATGTGGTATATAACACTGAATTGAAATCAGCAACCCGCTCCCATATCTGGGGTATTATTTCCAAATGTCTGTTCCGAATTCTTGTTCTCATTACACATTTATCATTTGTTTTCATTGTGCCGAATTCTTGTGATCCCGCCGTGTTGGTATTTCCCTATTTTTTCCTGTTTTCCTTTTTACAAACACACTCTTCCACACACAAATTTGTGTGATGACAAGGCTCCTGTGTTCAAGTTCGTGAACAGATTTGCCAGATGGGCAAAGGTTTCTAATAACTTCCATATTGGTCTTCAAGTTTTGGTGTATGGCTTCCTCTTGTGGATTTTAAGATACGGAGGAGATGAAGCTTTTCTGAAATCTGAACAGAAGTTCAACATCTTGAAATTATGTACTGTTTTCTGTAGCTTAAGTATCCAAGTACTGATGGGGGAAAACATATTTTTTCTGGTAATATATTTGAAACGGCTTTAACTGAAGATATGGAGAATTCGCCTCCTATTTACTGTCAGAATAGCCCAGGAAAACCCTAATTTTTAGTATCTAATAATAACTTCCTGCATCAAGAGGTAATTATGATTTTTTACGTTGTTGTATCTTTTGACTTGGAATGTGGTTTGGAATGAGCATAGACTGTACCAACTTTCCTTTAAATAAATGAAAGGAAACCAATTTGCAAACCTCTGCATTTTCTTTTGAGATGTCCGGACCTGTGAGACTATTTGGCAAAAAGCAGTGAAGGCTATTTAAGGGACTTATGGTTTCACACATAGGCCACTCTTTTGGAATCTTATGCTATTAAGAAGTTCAAATTGGATTCATTTTTTGAGCCAGCATCCTTTTTGCTGCGTGCGCTCAAATATTAAATAGCACCGTATTTTTTCAGTTGTGTTTTGCATTTGCACCGCGAGGCTCAATATAAAAGAAAATTAAGTTATAAGACTTGAGGAGGAAAAAAAGACAAACATTTGTCTCGTAATATTTTCTCTAGATGTGATAGCTGATAGGACCCACCAAAGTCGTCTTTTCAGAAGTTAGTTCAAGAAAGTGTCATTGACATTGATGGGACTGAAATTAGTCATGACGTACATGATCCAACCTTTTACATACAGCTTAAGCATAACCTCTTCTTTGTTGAGATCCAAGTACTGCCTTGGAAACCCTAAATAATCCTGGACCCGGGTCTGTTCAGATTACCTCTTCTATGGAAATGAAAATAAATCTTGTGCGTCAAGGTGCTTATTCGAAAGGGCAGAGACAGTTGAGCAAGCACTGATCCAAGGTCAATGTACTCATCCTTTGAAGTTTAAAGTATTGCCACTTGACTTCAGGAGGGTCTGGATTTTGGACCTTAAACCCGATCCCATCTCTATGTACGTAAGTCTACCCCCTTTCCACAGAGGTCATGTCTATGTAAGTGTTCTTAGAGTGTAGATAGCTCTCTGCGAATTTACCAAGCTGATGCAAAATACAACAAAGGGTCAGAACAACTTTCTGAAACGCCAGCTTTCACTGGTTTTGTGGAGTTTATTCTGTGATGTAGTATTTTGAAATGAGGACTCCTCCCTTTTGAATGAAAAGCTTCCTGATCAGTGTCTAGTTCAGCATTGTTCATCTTCCCACCTATTTTAGTAATTTGCAGAACGGTGTCATAGAAAGCCTGTCATGCTAGAAGGGATTTTTAGCTCAGGTTTGTAGTATGGTAAATGGCAGGATTAGAAACACGATGCTCTACCTCTGCCTTTTTTTTTCCTTGCAAGGGGAGTGGGAAAAGAACAGAAATTGAGAATGCAATGTTACTAAGCATGTTTTCAAAACCGGTTAATTGTAAGTTAAACCTTTTATTTCAAGTTGGCACTTACTGTAAAGTGTTAAATGGATTTTTTCCAACGCTTGTAGTTTCCATATCCCACTTCTGATGCCTTTTTGTACACATGTTAACCTTTTTTTAAAAATTAAAATCTGTTTTCAAAAATCAACATATGAGGTTAAGTGTTATCCATACCTACAGGAATAAGCCACTCAAGTGAAGCATGAGTGGGAACGTGTCTTAGCCCAGCTGTGATGAATCCTTCACTTGGAGGAACAGCCCTTTCAGTTGTTGTGGACTAAGGGCCCTTCCAGACAGGCCCTATATCCAAGGATCTGATCCCATGTTTTCTGTTTATCCCAGATTATCTGGCAGTGTGGACTCATATAATCCAGTTTAACATTTAACATCTATATGCAACCACTTGCCCGACTGGTGCGAAGCTTTGGGCTTGAGTGCCACCAGTACGATGATGACACTCAGCTTATTCTGAGGATGGAGGGCTGGCCGGACTCCATACCTGAAAATTTCCATCAGTGCCTTGAGACCGTTACTGGATGGTTGCATGCCAGCAGGTTGAGGGTGAATCCAGCGAAGACGGAGATCCTTTGGCTGGGCCGTCTGGGTGGGAGAGAGACCCAGCTGCCTATCCTGGATGGCAAGACACTACGTCCGTGACCTTCTGTAAAAAGCCTTGGTGTCTTATTGGACCCTCTGCTCACAATGGAGACCCAGGTCTCTGCTGTGAGCAGATCTGCGTTTTTCCACCTACATCAGGCTAGGCGACTGGCTCCCTTCCTATCTAGGAACGACCTGGCTACGGTGATCCAGGTGACGGTCATCTCGAGGCTTGACTACTGTAACGCCCTCTACATTGGCCTTCTTTTGTCAGTGATCCGGAAACTGAAGCTCGTGCAAAATGCGGCGGCTTGTCTTCTTGCCGGGGTGCTCGCAAGGTGTCGTATCACACCAATTCTCCAACAGCTGCACTGGCTACCGATTGAGTACCAGATCACTTTCAAGGTGCTGGTACTAACCTTTAAGGCCTTATAATGTCGGGCCGGCGTACCTAAGGGCCCACTTATCCCCCTACCAACCCCAGAGATTACTCCGGTCTGAAGACCAAAATCTGCTTGCAGTCCCTAACATTCAGACCTATTATTTGTCATCTACTAGGCATAGAGCCTTCTTGATCTTGGCCCCTTACTTATGGAATGCCTTGCTGGTTGAAACTCGAACCATCCAAGACCTACTTGTTTTTCGGAAATCCTGTAAAACTTTTCTTTTTCGGCAAGCTTTTGATGGGTGAACAATCCGGGCTATGCCTGTTCTCGCTGCCTATTGTTATTGTTATGGTCATTTTAAAGCTAATTGTATTGTTTTAATCTGTTTCTGTAAACCGCTCTGAGCCAAATTGGGAGTAGCAGTATACAAGTTGAATGAATGAATGAATGAATGAATGAATGAATGAATGAATAAATAAATAAAGTGATCTTGGAATATAGGACCTGTCTGGAAGAGCCCTAAGTTATCCCCATGTTCTGTGGGAATGACATATCTGCCATTTTCAGTCTCTCTAAGTTTCACAATCTCACGATTCTTAAGTTAGTAGTGGTTGTTTACATTGCAACTTACACATATGCAGCTATGCATCTTACTACTGTTTTACTGCTACAGTGCATCCATACATCTACAGGGTAAAACTGAAAAGTAACAACAAAGGTTTAATTGATTGTGGTGTAGTAGTTTGAGTGTTTTGCTAAGACTATGAGAAACCAGGGCTTGGATTCCCATCCAGCTATGAAAATCTACTGGCTGACTTTGGTTAAATCATACTCTTTCAAATTCAAAAGAAGGTAATGGAAGTTAAGCATCTCACCTCAGAAATCAGAGACTTCGGATCTGATATGTGCTCTTAATTTTTTTTTCTTAAATAAAAATATGACTTCAAGGAAAAGTCAAAGCAAGACACTAGTTTGGAATGGGGTAGTCATCCCCAATCCCCTGTTTTAGGCCAACTTTCCTGTATATACTTGAGTATAAAAGGTAAAGGTAAAGGTTTTCCCCTGACATTAAGTCCGACTCTGGACATTAAGTCCGACTCTGGGTGTGGTGCTCATCTCCATTTCTAAGCCGAAGAACCGACGTTGTCCGTAGACACCTCCAAGGTCATGTGACCAGCATGACTGCATGGAGTGCCGTTACCTTCCCGCCGGAGCGGTACCTATTGATTTACTCACATTTTTGCATGTTTTCGAAGTGCTAGGTTGCCAGAAGCTGGGGCTGACAGCGGAAGCTCATGCCGCTCCCCGGATTTGAACCTGCGACCTTTCGGTCAACAAGCTCAGCAGCTCAGCGCTTTAACCCACCGGGGGCTCCATATACTTGAGTATAAGCCGACCCAAATATAAGCCAAGGCATCTAATACCACAAAAAACTGGGAAAACATATTAACCTGAGTATAGGCCGAGGGCGGGAAATGCAGCAGCTACTGGTAAATTTCAAAATGAAAATAGATACCAATAAAATTACATTAATTGAGGCATCAGTAGGTTAAATGAAAGACTGTCTTCACTCTGATCAAACCGTTATTCTAACCTTCAATGTAAATGTGCTTACGTATCCTTCCAATAATAGAGTAAAATAATAAATGTAATAATAGTGTGAATTAATGAAAATGTAATAACAGTAATAATAGATTAAAATAATAAATGTAATAATAGCAATAATAGAGTAAAATAAATATAATAATAAATAGAATAAAAGAATAAATCATAATAGAGTAAAATAATAAATGCAATAAAATAATAGAGTAACAATGTAACTGTAATAATAGAGAAATATAATAAATATAAAAATAATAACCCAGTAAAATAATAAATATTTTTTACTCGAGTATAAGCCGAGGAGTGCCTTTTCAGCCTAAAAAAGGGCTGAAAAATTTGGCTTATGCTCAATTATATGCGTTAAGTGTATTATTCCTCAGGAGGATCTCTATCTCTGCTTATTATAAAAGAGAGAAAGTACAGTGGAATCTCGACTTTGGAGCGTCCCAAATTAAGAGCATTTTGAGTTAAGAGCTGTCACTTGACCAGGTTTCACTTTGACATATGAGCAACGTTTTTAGTTACAGGCTAGCCCCAGAGGGAATAATGAGTCCAGTGTGAAGAAAACGATGCTTCTGCCTCTTTGCTTTGTGCCTCTACCATTTTTCTTTGTTTACTGTTCCATGTGAATGTGCATTTATACACTGTTATTTCTAAAGTACATTTTCTTATTTAAAAACAGGTAACAAAATGGGGGGGGGGGGGTTTCGGGGCATTTCAATGCATTTTGCCTTGAGATAAGAGTATTTTGAGTTAAGAGCAACAAATTAAACTTTTAACCCAAGGTATCACTATAGCTGTAATAAAGTATTTATTGCAATTTAATCTTGAATACATCAAAATGCAAGTCTTTGAACCATGATATTGATTTCTCTCTCTCACCCTTAAATTGTATGGAAAATCAGCATAGATTCTGCCCCTCCTCCCTCCCTGCCCCCTCCACTTAAATGGAGAGGAATTTGCATCCCCTTGCTTGCAGATCCTTCAGGTATTCTAAACAAAGGGATTGTCATTGCACTTTGGAGGATTTTGTTCTGAGGGAATAGCTGCTTCTTACTACAAACTCTAGAAATTGGAGAGACTTGTATAGGGAGCAATGGGAACCTATTCTACTGTTAGGCAGACTGAGATAACTACATCAGGCAGCAGATGCTGGGGGACACCATCAAGATTCTCCTGGTTGACTGGTACACTGGTTGACCCTAAAATGCCCCGTTGTCTTGAAGTATGGAAGAAGCAGTTCCATCACTAATACAGAACTAAGTTCAACTAAAAGTGCAACTTGTATATGTGGAACAGGAATATATACCATCTTTCCAGGCTACTTTACCATTGCAGTTTTCGAATAGAGCAGTGCACATGACTTGCTTCATTAGACGTCATGAATAGCTCACTTGTCTGAAGTTCATGAAGATCCTTGCAAGCTTGTGAAAGCTTCTTATCAACAAAATTAGATCAATGTTCTAGAGGAGGTGGTTCCATGTCTTGACTCAACCGGAACACAATAGTTTACTGTATGGGTGTAAAAGAGCAACTTTTCCCTGGAGAAGCAGAGAACAGGACTGGCTTTTGGGGTAGGTGGAAATGACTGCAGCCTTTTGGTAGTAAAAAAAAAACATTACTTGCATCTTCTTTAATAATCATCCCTCACCTTTAAAAAACTATGCTGGAAATAGGAATAAACCCATGGACGGGAAATATTCTGCTCTCGTTCCAGGCCACTGGCTTCCACAAGGGTCTTGTATTGGAACTGCTGTTGCTTCTCCAGCTCTTCTCTTTGTCTGAAAACAAAGACATTGATTGATTCATTGACACTTAAATGAGAAATCTCACCTGCTAAGTCTAAGACTGAACTTTTACCTTGAAAATGAAGGGTCGGGTCATTAAAACCTTTCAATCAAGCAGATAGACCATCTGTAATTATTATTATTATTATTATTATTATTATTATTATTATTATTATTGTTATCTTTATTTGCACCTCGCTAGCATCTCCCGAAGGACTCGATGTGGCTTACAAAGGCCAAGGCCCTCAATAAAACAACAGCATAACAAATATAATTATCTAACTCATAAGCAAACCAAAAAACACTAAAGCAGTAAAAATAAGACAACAAACAATACACCATGACACATTTTAAAAACTAGGGTCGAACCAAATGTAATGGGTACAGTTAAAAGTGCTGGACATGACAAGGTAAAATATAAGGGTTCTAGGGTAGGTGCAATGTGCAGGCAATCTTAAAGTGCGTATGGGACATGATGCTGGGAGTTTCCTATTCTGGAAAGGCACACTGGAACAGCCAAGTCTTCAAGCTCTTCCTAAAGACTGCCAGTGTTGGGGCTTGTCTGATGTCCTTGGGGAGGGTGTTATATATAACAATGTTTTAGCCAAGAATCAGAATGACAAGCTGAGACCCAACTTCATGAGGCAGAGAATCTCATAATTTAGACCACAAATGGGGAATGTATGACTCCAGAGACTGGGTTGTACCTTTTCCCAATTGGCCAATCCGGGTAGAGGTGACTAGAGTTGCAGTCTTAATATCTTGACGGTCAAACATTTCCAATCACTTATTAAGGCAGTGACATATCCGGCCCACCCCGTTTGCGTGTCAGTCAGCATGAAAATGACTTAAATAAAGAAATAGTTTTCTAAGATCTACAGAGACACTCACTGGAACACCTCAGCAAGTGAGAGTCCAAAAGTGGCAGGCTCAAACCCAGAACCTCAATCAATGGCTGATACCAAATGAGAGACCCCCTCCTGGGCACACAGAAATCTGGGCGACTTGGAAGGCGCTGAACAGACTGCGCTCTGGGACCACGAGATGCAGAGCCAACCTGAAGAAATGGGGCTACAAGGTGGAATCCACAACATTCAAGTGTGGAAAAGAGCAAACCACTGACCACTTGCTGCAATGCAACCTGAACCCTGCCACATGCACAATGGAGGACCTTCTTGCAGCAACACCAGAGGCACTCCAAGTGGCCAGCTACTGGTCAAAGGACATTGCATAGAATACAAAGTCTGCAAACTTTGTGCCTTGTTTGTTTGTTTGCTTGTTTTTAATGCAGGCAGGAAGTCAATAAATGGAGGCCCATTTTTGAAGAGTGCCTTGTCACATGTATTAGCCTGATATGTTCGACAAATCACAGGTTTGCGGAGTAGAATTTAAGTTGATGGAGAAGAATTACATAAAAGGAACCTTCGTGGTAAGTACTAGGCCTGTTCAATGCATGGTTCTAAATAAGTACTTTGAGTCATCTGTATGCAGTCATGCTGCAAATCATACCCAGAGCTTCAGATATTGGACAACAAAGAAAAACAAATTCAAGATGGTTCATAATCAAGTAGCAAAGCCTTAAAAAATGGCAAAGGAGCATTTTTCATAAAATGCAATTCTTGCCTACACCAAACCCAAGGGAGATATACCCATTGGAGGGGATGAGAAAGCAAAATACAATAGATTGTTAGGATGTGTTGCTGAGAATGTGGAGCCCATTGCTTATTGGATAATTCCTCCCTGAGACAGGACCTTTATTTCATAAAGGTGTGAAATACCTTGCCAGTAACAGTGCATGCTGCCTTGCTTCTTCTAATGCAATTCTTGCCTCTTCCTCGGCTTTCTTCCTTCTCTCCTCCGCCTCACGCCTCATTTTCTCCTCTTCTTCCTGTTTTTTTTTCATATACTCCAACCTTTCTTCCTCAGCCATCTCTGCTAAGCGTTGGTGTTCTTCCTCTAGTTGGATTTCCTTTTCTTTTTGTCTGCGTTTTTCTGCTTCTAAGGAAGTTTAGAAATTGTTTGAAATATTACAGAGATGATAATAATAGTAATAATAATACTCACGATCGTGTTAAAAAACAAAGTATGGATCGTTGATGTCGCAATCCCAGGTGACAGCAGGATTGCAGAGAAACAACTGGAAAAGCTGACATGATATGAGGATTTAAAAATCGAACTACAAAAACTCTGGCACAAGCCAGTCAAGGTGGTCCCAGTGGTGATCGGCACACTGGGTGCAGTGTCTAAAGACCTTGGCCTGCACTTAAACACAATTGGCGCTGACAAAATTACCATCTGCCAGCTGCAGAAGGCCACCTTACTGGGATCTGCATGCATTATTCGCCAATACATCACACAGTCCTAGACACTTGGGAAGTGTCCAACGTGTGATCCAATTCAACAGCCAGTAGAGTGTCTGCTGTGGACTCACCTTATTGTGTTTCTAATATTATTATTATTATTAATAATAATAATAATAATAATAATAATAAATATACTTTCCAAATGCCAGCATTTGGAAACAATAAACATTGACAAAATCACGATCTGTCAACTGCAAAAGGCCATCTTACTTGGATCTGCGCACATCAGTCGAAAATACATCACACAGTCCTAGATGCTTGGGAAGTGTTCGACTTGCGATTTTGTAATACAAAATCCAGCATATAGATCTCATTTGCTGTGACATACTGTGTTTTTGTATCAGTAAACTAAATATATTTTATTTATATTCTGCTCTACCTTCTCCGAGGAGATTCAGGACGGATTACAGAACACATATATGGCAAACATTCAATGCCGTTATACAATTGACAAGGGCAGAGAATAAATAACCAGAGGTATTGGCTTTTCCCATCTTTTCCCATCTCTGACATCTGGAGGCTATGCTCGACTCTGGCCACAGGGAGGTGCTGACTCTGACTCCACGGCTTGCTATAGAGTACCTGCACGTTCTTCTTCCTCCTCCTGTTTTTTCCTTTGGATTTCCAGAAGTTTCCTACGGTACTCTTCCTGCTGCTGCCGAAGACGTTCTTGAGCAGCCTTTTCAGCTTGTTGCATCTTTTCAGCCTCCTCCTCTTGACGCCGACGCTCTTCTTCTAGCTGTTGCTTTCTTAAACTAAAAGAGAGATGCCTGTCAGGTTTTGATAGATGATTCAGAAGCCAGAAGAAATGAAAAACATTTTAATGTGTAGCCTGCATATCTCCCTCTAATCAGAATATGACTGTAAGAAAATCTAGTAGTAAACGAATACTCATCTGCGTTTAAAACATTGGCGGGGCTAGTCCTACCATTAGATAGCATGAGGTTAAAGGCACATGAGGCAGGAAATTCCCTTCCTTCTGAATGGCACCATGGTTAGCAACCAATAGACCTCTGGAGTGTCACAGCCACCATTTAATCAAACTGTTTTGGCGATGAAGACAAATATGTGGAAGTGTTCCATGGAAGAGACACTTCCATTCCAGTTTTCCCTCTTCATGAACTGGATATGGTTTTGTACATCTACTGACCGTATCTCCTCAATTCTCCTCTGTTTTTCCAGCTGCATTTCTTCCTTCATTCTCTCAATACGTTCCTGTTGCTCTTGTTCCTTCCGCTTCAAGTCCTCCTGCTCTTTTCGTTTTCTCTCTACTGCCAGCCGTCTCTTCTCTGCTCTCTCTGCTATCATCTTTTCCCGTGACAGTTTCTCGTTTTCTTTGTTTCTCAGGAGACGCTGGGAAGTTAAAAGGAAAATAGGATTACTCCCAAACAGAGGAGCACATTCTGATGAGATGGGGGAGTTCCTTGAAATACAGGGCCAGTCGTACCATTGGCAAGTGCCTCGGGGAACTGGGACTCCTTCCCACCAACCATTGCCCTGTAGCCACTAACGTGGCTGAAAGCAGAAGATACCGTATCTGGACAAATGTTAAAAGAAAGTCAAATAACTTGACAAAGTAGTTGGAACTAGTGACTGGGGGGGGGGAGCTGGGGGGGGGCAATAGAAGGATTTGACCTTTGCCTCTCTATTTTGCGGCCCACTCTATTTAAATGATTGGCTTTTTTAGATAGTGAATATAACATGCCCCTCACCTTTGAGTGTCTCCTGTCTAACAGGTTAGAATTATGTGGAAAAATTATAATATACAGAAACCATGTCTGTTAATTCCTAAAGAAAAGTGGTGCGCGGGGGGGAGTCTGCATTGATGGTCAGAGAACCCCACATAGTGTGGGTGGGACTGGTAATTGGCAGGGCTACAAAAAGTGGGGGCATCCTTTTCTCCTATAGGAATTCTTTCTGGCACATGAGAATTAGTAGTCGTAAAATCTCAGCATACAGTGGAACCTCAACTTAAGAGTATCCCAACTTAAGAACATTTTGAGTTAAGAGCAATAGTTCAGCCTGGGTTTTGCTTTGACATACAAGGAGAGTTTTGGTTAAGAGCTAGTGTCAGAGGGAGTGAGAATATAGGGCTTTAGGGTTTCAAGGGAGCAGCCTCCGTACTTCATTCTCTTGTCCATTTCAGGAGATTGCTTTGCTCTTATTTGCTTTTAGGAACTTTGGGTTAGTTGATTTTTTGTGATTTTTATTCCTGGAATGTTTGGCTTCATGAAGAAAGAAAGGGAGAAAGAGCAAGAGAGAGAGGGAGGCTGGAATGAGCCTAGTATGAGGAAAATGATGCTTCTGTCTCTTCACTTTCTGCTTTGTGCTTCCTTGCCTCAACTTTGCTTTTCTACCATTTTAATGTTGATATTTCTTTTCTATCATTCCATTTGAATGTGCATTTATGCATTATTTGTTATTGATAAGGTGCATTTTTATTTAAAAACATGTAACAAAAAAAGAGTGGGGGTGGTGGATGGTACGGATTAATAGCATTTCAATGGGGAAAACTGCTTTGAGATAAGAGCAATTTGAGTTAAGAGCTCAGTCACAGAATGATTCAAACTCTTAATTCAAGGTATCGCTGTATTTTCCTTTTAACTGAGTAACAACTTAAATATGTGGGTTCTTATTAAAATCAACTCAGCAATCTCAATTCACTTAATGATAAGAGATATGCATTGAATAATCCCTGAATTATGACTTTGCCTGAGAATGATCCTTCTTACCTCTGGAAATTCCCTACTGTGGACTTCATCAGTCTGGGAGCCGTTTGCAATAGGAAGGACTGCATGAAAAAGAGCTGCTTTGTTGTTTGGAAGGTTGACCGGAGATGTAGAAGAGTGGATAGTGTCTTCAGGGGAAGGCCATTCTTCCTGCATCACCAAGGGATGCTCCTCCTGAAGAGGAGTGGAAGGAGGGCAACTTTGGTCAGAGACGCCTTCCATACTATTGTCATCCTCACCCTCGGCTTCTTTTTCTCCTCCTCCTCCTCCTCCTCCTCCTCCTCCTCCTCCATCATCAAAAGAATCAGACTGTTCCAAATCAGCATCGCCTCTCCTTTCTTCTTCCTCTTGGTGTGATTCCTCTATAGTTTCTGATTTTCTGACACCTTCTGGTTTTTCTTTGGGAAAAGCAACTGTTTTCCCAGCAGCTTTTTTCTGTTTTGGTTTTCCTGCAGCAAATAAATAAATAAATAAATGATCCCCCATGAATTTTAATAGAAGTTATAGCAGTGATTCCCAAACTCTGGTTCTCCAGGTGTTTTGAACTTCAACTCCAAGCAAACTCAACCACTTTGGCCTGAAGTCCAAAACACCAGAACAACCAGAATTTGGGGATTGCGTAGGCTGGATCAACATTGCCATATAATCCAGATTATCAAAGCAGAGTCTACACTACCGTATAATCCAGATTATCAAATCTGATAATCTGGATTTTATATGGCAGTGTAGACCCAGGCTGAGTTAGAGCATCAAATACTCTCCCATACTGTGCCAATCAGGGCTCCCAGTATTCAATACTGGTCAAGTTTTTTTGGCATTGGAGGATATTTCAATGTGCTTTTCTAAATCTGTGGTATTATGGAATAGACAATATTAAATTGACTAACTTACTCAAACATCCTAAAAGTATGACCTAAAAATATCTAATGATGATGCTGACCCACAAGTGGTCAAATGCTACTTGGAAAAAGTAATTTAGATAATTCCATATTTGCAACACTGTACAAACATAGCAGTGACTAGTCATGCATATGCATGCATATGCATGTGGCAGAAATTGGCAACTTCTTCACTACTGGGGTAGTAATGATTATAGCAACAGCCATTACCTTCATGTACAAAATATTGTTTTTCAGAAAAATGTTCTTTTTTGTGCCCTCAACCAAAATTTTGTACTTTTTTTTAACAAAAAATATCTTGGAAGTCCAAAAATGTATCGAAAATATGTACAAACTGCCATAAACTCACCCATCATTTTGAAATTATTAATTCCTGTAAGCATGGAAGGCATGCACAATTTTTTATACCTCCAATGCACATGAATAATACAACATGCATACATATATACGTACCTACAGCAAATTCTGTCTGTCTTTGGTGTTGATCTTCCTTGACATTCTTTTTCCGTACCTTTAAAACATCTCCTGCTTTCCCCAATTCATATTTCTTCTGTTTTTGTGATGGCTTGCTCTCCAAAACACCTGCTGCCTGGGATTTCTTTTACAAAATGGACAATAAATAAATAAATAGTGTACCTTGTTAAGTGAGACGGATTGGGTAACTAAACATATCCCAGTTTTCTCACAATAGAGGAATCAGCTGGGTTGCTCTTTTCAAGGGGGGGGGGGGTTGAGGGCACCCATTCTTCTGCTGAAAAGAACCAAAGAGGGTCCTTATATCCACAAAAAATCAGAGGTACTCCTGGTCAGTCAGAAGGCAGATCAGGGTGTGGGGTTACAGTCTGTGCTGGACAGAGTCACACTCCCCTTGAAGATACAGGTTCACAGTCTGGGGGTGATCCTGGACTCATCGCTGACCCTGGAGACCCAGGTATCAGTAGTGATCAGAAGAACTTTTGCACAACTAAAACTTGTGTGCCAGCTGCGCCCATACCTTGAGATGTCAGATCTGGTCATGCTACTCCATGTCTTGGCTATTTCCCATTTGGACTATTGCAACACTCTACGTGGGGCTGCCTTTGAAGATAGTTTAGAGATTGTCAGCCAGGTTACTAACTGGTGTTTCGTGAGAGGATGACTGCCATGTTGCGGCAGCTCCACTGGCTGCCGATCTGCTTCCAGGCTAAATACAAAGTGCTAGTCATTACCTATAAAGCCCTAAATGGTTTGGGCCCAGACTATTTGCAGAACCACATCACTGTATACAAACTGGTTTGAGCACCTACAGAGGAGGCCCTGCTCTCAGTACCACCCCTGTTTCAAGCACGGCTGGTGGGAACAAGAGAGAGGGCTCTCTCCGTTGTTGCTCCCTGCCTCTGGAATTCCCTCCCAAAAGAACTAAAAATCTCCCCCTCTCTTCAAAAAGTTGCTAAAAACTCACCTATGCACTCTGGCTTATGGAAAGGAGGAAGACTAACGCGTCTCAACTTACATCCTCGCCTAGATATGTTAAATTTTGTCTAGATACTGGAATTGATTTCAGCCTGTTGGTTGTCAGAAACCATTCCATTTCTCTAAAAGGTTTTAGCTGTTAGTTTTACCCTGTGACAAATTATGTCCATTTGAGTTATTTAAGTTTTATCTTTGGCTAATTTTGCCTGTCATTTAGTCTAAAATTAGGCTGCTTATATTGTTTGATGTGTTCTTTTGATGTAATTTGTTATATGTTTTCTCCTTGTTGGCATTGAATGTTTGCTGTATATGCTGAAAACTGCCCTGAGTCCCTTTGGGGAGATGGGGCGGTCTACGAATAAATTATTATTATTATTATTATTATTATTATTATTATTATTATTATTATTATTAGAAACACAAAAAGATGAGTCCACAGCAGACAAGATCACTCTGCTGGCTGTTGTATTGGATCACACGTTGGACACCTCCCAAGTGTCTAGGACTGTGTGATGTATCGGCGAATATTGTGTGCAGATCCTAGTAGGGTGGCCTTTTGTAGCTGGCAGATGGTAATCTTGTCAGTGCCAATTGTGTTTAAGTGCAGGCCAAGGTCTTTAGGCACTGCACCCAGTGTTCCGATCACCACTGGGACCACCTTTACTGGTTTGTGCCAGAGTCTTTGCAGTTCGATCTTTAAATCCTCATATTGTGTCAGCTTTTCCAGTTATTATTATTTTTATTATTATTTTCCAGTTTATATTATTATTATTATTGTTATTATTATTATTATTATTTTATATATAAACACTAGCATAATCAAAATTTGGAAGCCCCAGATCAGCAGCAACTGCTCTCTATAGTCTGCTGAATGAGCTGCAAGAATTGGGATGTAAGCAACCAGTGGAAAAACGAAAGGATGGGAAAGGGAATGAGGGGAAACTCCACACCAGATTACTAGTATAAGAATCCACCATTCCTAGTGTCCACACTGTACAATATGTTTATCAAGATTCTCTCACAATGCTTTGTGTGTGTGTTTTTTTAGAAACCACCAGATTAGAAGACTTACTGTTTTGAGGCCAGTGTCCTTCACTTGCTTCCTGGTCTTCTTTGGGAAAGCCATGTCATGGACTTCCATTCCAAATTTCTCTTCAGAAGAAGAGAAGTCCATTCTTGTGCTCTCCTGAATTTCCTCACTGTGCTCAAGAAGCCTCTTGACAGCATTACCTGATTTAGGGACACTCTCCCTTGCAGAAAGACATTGTGAAGTCACCAGATCAGAATTTTTTTTTACAAATCTTTAAATTTAATACTTCCTTCCTTCTCTTTCCCCTCTTGCAGATGAAAAAACCTACAGCAACAAGAAAAAGGAAGCTCCCCTCCCCGCCACCCACTGACTGTACTATGTTTGCTTTTGTTTACTTGCAGACGTTGAAACCCCTTGATGTACAACTCATGTAACTGTAATGGCCTCAGCAGGTAACTGCCTTTTTCCTTGTCTCATTATCAAGAAAAGGAGGGAAAAAACCCCAACATCCTCCTTGTAGTATTAATGCCAGTCCCAAGGCTCTTCTCCATGATTAATAATGAAAGCAGGTGGTTGGCACCTTTCATCTTGTGATCTCAAAAGTTTTGCTGTGTGCTGTGCAAAGTTTCAGAGTGGTAAGATTTCCCAGAGGCAGCACAGTTGGCCCTCTCTATCCACAGGTTCTGCCTCCATGGATTCGCATGGATTCCCTTCAACCAAGGATTGAAAATATTCAGAAAAATAAAATCCCAAAAGCAGATAAATCCTTAAATTTGCTGTGCACTGAACACTATGCCAGTATGTAGGAATGCCCTGCTTTATCCTCCTGTCATTTCACACGCATTTGTTTGAGTTGCCATGTTAGATGAGCCATTTTAGTATGCCACTAGCTGTACCCACCACACGTTACTGTTGCCATGCTTTCCTCCCTCTTTCTCTCCTTCTCCCCTTCCTTCCCTTTTTCCCCTTTCCTTCTCTCCTCCCTCCCTCCTTTCTTTTCCTCTTCCCTTCCTTCCCCCCTTCTTTTTCTCTTCCTCTTTCTACCCGTTCTTCCTTCTCTACCTATTCTTGGACTGCAACTCCCAGCAGTCCTCCTGATTGATTTACCTACCTACCTCTATCTAATCTATCTATCTGGAGGATTGCTGGGAATTGCAGTCCAGGAATAGGAAATTGGAAATATGCAGGGATTGGGATGCTCTCAAAGAAATCCAAGGAGAAGAAAGCTTGCATCTTGGAAACAGTGCATTTGGATCACCCTCCTCTCCTAAAGGGGCTGGTCTAGGGGATGCTGGGAGTTGTAGTCCGGAAGAGAGTGTGGATATGCTATTGTGTGTTTTGTTTGCTGGGGAGTTGTTTTTGCGCATGCGCTAAGGAGTCTTTTTGCTTTTTTTTGGCTTTTTAAGTCCCTTCTGCTGTGTTTCTCAGTGTTTTTATGAGTGATGGTCACTCATTGGCCTGATAGGAGTATTGTGTCTAAATTTGGTGTCAATTCGTCTAGTGATTTTTGTGTTAATCCCACAAACTAACATTACATTTTTATTTATATAAATTGCGTATAATGGGATGAGCATCCATGGATTTTGGTATCCATAGGTCTTGGAAGCAAACCACATTTGTGACGGCACGTCTGGCCCCACTTGTATGTGAATGTATAGCTAAATTGTTTGGTTACCTATAGCTGTCAATCAATGTTATTTTGTACTGGTTGAATTGCTCCCCCTGCTCAATTGTTTGGCTCCGTCCTTTCCTGGGGAAGACGGCAGTGCTTTCTTTTCATTCTACCATCAGACAACTCAGCAGATGGACGTGAGAAAGGCTTGGCTCTAAAGCCCTCAGTCAAGTCATCTCTCATCACCAATTCTTAAGTTTGTATTCTTAAGATTCATGCTTCATGTTCAGATCACCCTGGACAACGTTGAGGAATCTTAAGCGCCTTCAAACCAGTCCTTTGACATCAAGAGGAAGACTTTGTGCCTTCAAATATAGGTCATTGGACTGGAGTTGTGAATGCTCAGGTTTTCACAGCCATTGAGAAAGAGGGAACTTGGAAAGCTTCTCAGCTGTAAAACTCCTTGGACCCAAGACTTCAGAGACTGCAATGTATATTTTCTTTACCCCCTTTTGGAACATCAAGTTTATCCCTAAGAAAGATAATTCATTGTGAACAATAAAGCCTATTTCGAGTTATCTATAGTGTATTGATCCTTGAGAGTTCCAGTTCTCTAAAGGAGGGCAAGAAGCAATCCCCTGGGGAAAGGATGCCACGTCCATGTTTCTTTCACTAAGATCTATAGCCCCCAGGCGCGATGGCACAACATTGAATACCAAGGGCTTGCTGTTTTGTTGAGCATGGGTGGGAAAGCACTAGAGATGGCTGGTGTCTTTTTAATATTTGCTTTGTGCAATAATAGATAAACACAGTTGGAGGTAAACAAGACTTTGTGAAGTGTGAATTATTTCACACTCTTCCAATTTCCAAAGGAAGAAAAAGGAACAGAAGCATATGTTATCATCTGCTTTTGTAATTGGAAGCTAGAAAATAAAGCTTCTGGACTGGTCCTGACTAATTAATGATCCGAGCGCTTGACTGCCTGCTTGGTACCTAAACAGAGCCATCTCATATTCATCACCACCCCACCTCAAAACTCACATTGCTGAACACAGCATATAAGGGTATCTGCTGTTGCATATGTGTTCCCTTTCAGAGGCCTGTTGCTGGATGCAGCAGCTTCATATGATTGATTTCACTCATTTCCTTGGACCTGCAAAACATACCAGCCCTTGGAAAAGCCAATGGCTATTCATTTTATATACTTACATCTCCAATGTGGAAACTAGTGAATGGGACAGCTGCGGTTTCAGGTGCGAGAGACTGCCTGACGGAGGCAAGTCTTCCATCTTCCTCTGTGTATCTGAAAAAGGAGTAAAACACAGACATGTATCTCGACAGAAAAAAATATAATTCACTATATATATATATATATATATATATATATATATATAGAGAGAGAGAGAGAGAGAGAGAGAGAGAGAAGACCTTGAGTTAAGAGTTTAATTGGTTCTATGACTTAGCTCTTAACTCAAATCATGCTGACCTCAAAGCGAATTTTCCCATTGAAATGTTATTAATTCTCTCCCCTCTCCCATTTTTGTTATGTGTTTTTCAATAAGAAAATGCACTTTATAAATAACAAATAATGTATAAATGCACATTCACATGAAACAATAAAAAGGAAGATCAATTTTAACATGGTAAAGCACAAAGTTGTGGCAAGGAAGCACAATGCACAAAGGGAAGAGGCAGGAGAATAATTTTCTTCATGTTGTTGTTGTTCATTCGTTCAGTCGTCTCCGACTCTTCGTGACCTCATGGATCAGTCCACGCCAGAGCTCCCTGTCGGCCGTCACTACCCCCAGCTCCTTCAAGGTCAGTCCAGTCACTTCAAGGATGCCATCCATCCATCTTGCCCTTGGTCGGCCCTCTTCCTTTTGCCTTCCACTTTCCCCAGCATAATTGTCTTCTCTAGGCTTTCTGTCTCCTCATGATGTGGCCAAAGTACTTCAACTTTGTCTCTAGTATCTTTCCCTCCAGTGAGCAGTCGGGCTTTATTTCCTGGAGGATGGACAGGTGGGATCTTCTCGCAGTCCAAGGCACTCTCAGCACTTTCCTCCAACACCACAGTTCAAAAGCATCGATCTTCCTTCGCTCAGCCTTCCCTAAGGTCCAGCTCTCACATCCGTAGGTTACTACAGGGAATACCATGGCTTTGACTAGACGGATCTTTGTTGCCAGTGTGATGTCTCTACTCTTTACTATTTTATCGAGATGGACATTGCTCTCCTCCCAAGAAGTAAGCGTCTTCTGATTTCCTGGCCACAGTCTGCATCTGCAGTAATCTTTGCACCTAGAAATACAAAGTCTGTCACGGCCTCCACATTTTCTCCCTCTATTTTCCAGTTGTCAATGATTCTTGTTGCCATAATCTTGGTTTTTTTTATCTTTAGCTGCAACCCAGCTTTTGCGCTTTCTTCTTTCACCTTGATTAGAAGGCTCCTCAGCTCCTCCTCGCTTTCGGCCATCAGAGTGGTGTCATCTGCATATCTGAGGTTGTTAATATTTCTTCCAGCAATTTTCACCCCAGCTTTGCATTCATCCAGCCCCGCACATCGTATGATGTGTTCTGCATACAAGTTAAAAAGGTTGGGTGAGAGTATGCAGCCTTGCCGTACGCCTTTCCCAATCTTGAACCAGTCTGTTGTTCCGTGGTCAGTTCTTACTGTTGCTACTTGGTCCTTGTACAGATTCCTCAGGAGAGAGAGAAGGTGGCTTGGGATGCCCATCCCACCAAGAACTTGCCACAATTTTCTTCATATTGAACTCATTTTAGCCTTCCTCCCATCCTTGCTCAAATAAGACAAAAAAATATATAGCAGATGGGGTGTAGCTCTCACCTGTCCAAGGCTCTAATTCACATCCTTGAAACCCTAGAAATGGAAAAAAGTATTCATTAAACAAGCCAGCAAAACTGAAGCTCATAAAAACATTTAAAAATATTTTTGGTATTATAGGAAATTGACATTCTAAATCCAAAAATGACCACAGAGTTACTTCACCATGTACCATGTTTTCACAACCTGTTTTGACATCCCTATGTAGAGAGATGTGACTGAATTAAATGAAATTGTGGGGGGCACAACGTTTTTTTTCCAATTCAGCAATCAGAAATACATTGAAAGCAGCTGCGGTGTTGAAAAAGGTTTTTTTTTCATTGCAGGCTTGTATTCTCATTGTACAAGCCAGGGCCAAATTTACATGCACTAGGACTATATTTATAATGTCATCCAAGCCAGAACAGATGAGAGTGATTTTATCTGCAAAGTGTCATGTAACCATCTGCATTTCCTCTTCCTAAGCAAAGATATAATAGTCCTCTGCCTATTTTAAATAGCTCTGCAGGATGGCAGATACAATGGCAGAATATGAATATATATATATATATATATATATATATATATATATAGTGAGAGAGAAAGAACGGCACACACTGCCACAGAGAAGGCCTTCAAGTAGGTTCTAATGCATATTTAAAGTTGTTCTCAGTTTTCTGCCAATAATTTCCTAGGTACACATTTCTATCACTGTTCGCTCCCCGGAAAACTAGAGATCTGGTTTGGCTCCCCTCTGTTTGAGAAAATCTTAGGAATGATGGTGTCCACTACCCTGATCATTTCACCATTCACAAAGTCAACACTGGTGTTGTTACAGCTTCCTGCCAGACAGATAGCAGGGACAGTTCCCTGGAGAAGACCTTCTTGTCAGTCGTCCACCTCTGCAGAGGCTCTGAGTAGTGTGATCTGTCAATCTCAGGGCCCTTCCGCGCAGCCATATGCGTACGCCAGAATATCAAGGCAGAAAATCCCACAATATCTGCTTTTAATTGGGTTATCTGAGTCCAAACTGTCACATATCCCAGTTCAAAGCATAACATGTGGGGTTTTATTTAACTGTGTGGAAGGGTCCCTATATCACCCTTGTCCCACCCAAAAACAAGGATAAAAGATAACAAACCTGTCTTGCAAACTGAATAAGGTTGGATACCACTTTGGACATATCTCACAACTGTCATGGAAGACATGACGTCCAATACTTACCAGCTGTGGAAGGGAGACTGCTGTGTAACACCAACAGAACTCCTAAGGTGTGTCTACACTATACAGCTATAGCAGTTTGTTAACTCTCATGACAGGGAATCATGAGATTTGTAGTGTTCTGATGGGTTCATATTTGTTTCCTAGTCCTGGGAGTGGACTAGTGCTCTCTAGCACAGAAACCACTCCCCAAACTACAAATCCCTGGAGTCCATGGATTGAAACTATGGTGGTTAAGGTAAAGGTAAAGGGTTTCCCCTGACATTAAGTCTGGTTGTGTCTGACTCTGGTGCTCATCTCCATTACTAAGCTGAAGAGCTGGTGTTGTCCGTAGACACCTGTAAGGTCATAATAATAATTTATTTATTTATTTATTTATATTCCATTCTATCACCCCAAAGGGACTCAGGGCAGATTCCAAACATAAAAGGCAAACATTCGATGCCCGAATACAACAATACATGCATAATAACAAAATTTATACAACCCAACATATAAATACGAATTATAACTTAACCAACTAAAATTAAAGAAAAAGCAAAACCTGTTATAACAGACATAAGACAAAACATCAAACATCAAATGGAAACAACAATTTCTCATTTCTTTGGGGCAAATCAATTAATCATTGCTCAAGATATCTATTGAGCTGGTGGGGTGAGCAGGGCACAGATACGGATGGCAGCTATTCATCAGAGGTATAATGGTAGTATTACTAACTACTATTCCTCCTCCTCGTAAGCTAGTGAGCAAAGATATGTCTTTATCTGTTTTTTGAAGTGGAGAGGGAGGAGGCCATCTTTAACTCCTTAGGAAGGAAGTTTCAGAGGTGGGGGGCAGCCACGGAGAAGGCCCTTTCTCTTGTTCTCACCAGCCGTGCTTGGGACGGGAATGGAACTGAGAGGAGGACCTCCTCCGATGACCGCAGTGTCTGAGTTAGTCTGTAGAGGGAGATGTGGTTTGTCAAATGGCTGGCATGACTGCATGGAGCACCGTTACCTTCTTGCTGGAACAGTGCCTATTGATCTACTCACATCTGCATGTTTTTGAACTGCTAGGTTGGCAGAGGTTGGGGCTAACAGCAGGAGCTCATTGTGCTCCCTGGATTCGAACCGCCAACCCTTTGGTTAGCAAGTTCAGCAGCTCAGTGGTTTAACCCGCTGCGCCACTAGGGGCTCCTATGGCAGTTAGGTGGCCTTAAACTGCTATAACTCTATAATATGTATATACTCTTCTTCTCTCCTGGACACTCTTAAACTCTTAAAGAGTGACACCTGAACCCAGCAAGCTGTGGGATGGGGCGCTTGGGGAGAAGAATGGACCCACTACCTGCAATCCTGTCCTTGCTTTGGCATCCAACATTTCAAGAATATCTCTGTGAGTGTTGATGGCATTTTGTGTTTATTATTATGACCATATGAAAAATATACAAAAGGGCAATGTGACATTAAAGTTTGCAAAGTCTTCTTGGGATTTTCTGTTTTTAGAATTTCTTTTCTGTCCATGTATTCTGTAATCTTCCTTTCACATTCCAAAAAAGTTGAAATTACATGCGGTTTTAGTTTGAAACACCAGCAATTCCTTACTGTCAATAGAGGGCACTCTTGTTCCAGGAACTATGAAAAGCCAAAACTAGGAGGTCCCTCCTCCCCTCATTGCAAGTCACTGAAAGGGGGAAAGTGCCTCTTGAAAACCAAGAAATATATTTCTAGGCAATGAGTTCTGTACTGCCTTGTTTTTCTCTACTGCCGGGGATCACATATAGAAAAATATTAACACATTTTCAAGCAGGTGCCAAATGCAATCTTAACTCATGGGTTTCCCAACTCTGTGCTGGATTGTCACCACTAACAATGTAATTTTACACGTGTACTTAGGCCCCTTCTACACTGCCATAGAATCCAGATTATCCAGACAAATAATCCATATTATCTGCTTTGAACTGGATTATATGAGTCTACACCGCCATATAAGCCCATTAAAAGCAGATAATCTGGATTTTATAAGGCAGCACAGAAGGGGTCTTAGAGATAAAGCCCACTGATTCAAATGAGGCTTATTCCCCATTTGAATTGAAATTAATGTAGAATTAATGCCTGAATGATACCCACATCGTGCAATCTGATACCTGTCTACTGGGAAGTAAGCCTTACTGAGCTCAATGACATTTCATGATTTATTGTACCGACTCTTTTTTTATTTCAGTCATGGACCATCCTTACACTTTACCCCATAGACATGCAATAGCTCTTAGGAAAAGTCTGCCAAATCATTTATAATTTTTGTTATTATGTGTATATCGGTTGTTGTACTCAGGCATTGTTTGCCTTTTTGTGAGCGTAATCTTCCCTGAGTCCCTTTGTGGAGATAGGGAAGAATACAAATAAAGTTATTATTATTATTATTATTATTATTATTATTATTATTATTATTATTATTAATGATCCGGTTGCCAACCACCTACCCACATATTAAGGGATAGACAAGTGATGGCATCCTTGTAACAATCATTTTACAGTGTATATAAATATAATTTACATCACTGTTTTCCAAACATTTATTTATTTATTTATTTATTTACAGCTTTTATATTCCACCCTTCTCACCCTGCAGGGGACTCAGGGTGGATTAGTGTACACATATATGGCAAACATTCAATGCCAATTTTAACATACAACATATACAGACATAGATAGAGGCTATTTAACTTTTTCTGGCCGCCAGGGGAGATGTCGCTTTCATCGTCCATCTGCGACGCTGATGAAGCACTTCCGCATTCCCCGCATGCTTCCCCGCTGGAATGCTTTGCTGTAGTCTTCTTTATGGCCTCATAAATCAGTTAATTTAGCCTCCCCACAATTTAAGGTGGTACCTTATTTTCCTACTTGACAGATGCAACTGTCTTTTGGGTTGCAAAGGTCGACAACAGGCTACACACAATTGGTTGGAAACCCACTCCAACCTGGGCTGGCTTCGAACTCATGACCTTTTGGTCAGAGTGATCTTAATGCAGCTGACACTCAGCCAGCTGCGCCACAATCCCGGTGCCCTTTTGAATTATCCTTTTGAATCAGAAATGCGTGGTAAAAAAAATTATTTGGATGCAAATAGATTTTCAATCTGCTGAAGAACATGAAAAAGTGTTAATTTCGATATATGAAGAAGGTGGTGAGTTTACACCATATTGTCAATAATCTCAGAAGGATACAAAGGTGACCACCAAAGGTAGAACCATTTTCAAGGAAAAATATACTGAATTTAGAAACTGCAAGAAGAGCATAGGTGCTTTGACACTATTCTGCCCATCATCAGCTGGACCTCTGATATCAAAGGCAACCCCAAAAGATAATCTGCTGAGTGCAATGTTCCAACTAGGAGATGTGAGGATCTTGCAATCTCATAATTACCGGATCAACAGCAGTGACCAGCTATTGTATTTGCCAGTGGATTCTGGGAGTTATAGCAAAATAATCATAATACCATAGACGACCCCTTGTGGCTGAACATGATTATCTTCCAAGGGTAGAGTCTTTTCTGTGGTCCGTAAGTGACTGGGGGGACCTATTCTGGATAAAACAGCAATATCTGTATTGAACCAATAAAAAATGCACACAATCATTTATCACAAAAGGTGTGTTAGCACAGGATCATAAAGGCTTTTGAAGCTCCAACGGCTTCTTCAGCTAATGTGTTTGCCCATTTGAGATAAAACTGGGGGGAGGGAGTCATTCTATTTTAGTCGTGTAGTTTACACCTTCGTGTAGCTACTTTCCTACACCATAGTGATCCAAAAAAGAGAGACTCACATAGGAGGAACACATGACCTTGCCATGAAT